TCTTTGGTGTTTGGCTTTTTGCTACTGGAGGAGCCTTCAGATCTTCTGTATCCAGAGGAAGAATCTGTCCTTCTGTATCTGGAAGAAGACTCGTTCTGATCAGATCTTCTGGGATTCCTGAACTTCCTTTGTCTTTGCTTCCACAGTTGATTTACTCTTCTGGAGAGAAGGGAGAGTTCGTCTTCTTCTGATGAGGATCCATCAGATGTTTCTTCAACTGCCTGCAAAACTTTAGACTCAAATTTTCTGTTAGATTTTAATGCTAAAGGCTTACCTTGCTTCTGAGGCTCATCAGCTTCTAGCTCTATCTCATGACTTCTGAGGGAGCTGATAAGTTCCTCCAGAGTGATTTTGTTGAGATCTTTAGCTAGCTTCAGAGCTGTAACCATAGGTCTCCACTGCTTGGGTAAACTTCTGATGATTTTCTTGACATGGTCAGCAGTAGAGTATCCTTTGTCCAGAACTTTGAGACCAGCTACCAGAATCTGGAATCTAGAGAACATGGTTTCAATGGATTCAGATTCTTCCATTTTGAACGCCTCATACTTCTGAATGAGCGCCAGAGCTTTTGTTTCTTTGACCTGAACGTTGCCCTCATGCGTCATTCTGAGTGAGTCAAAAATATTCTTTGTTGTGTCTCTGTTGGAGATCTTTTCATACTCAGTATAGGAGATGGCGCTGAGGAGGATGGTTCTGGCCTTGTGGTGATTCTTGAAGTCACGCTTTTGTTGATCAGACATTGTTTTTCTATCAATCTTCTTACCACTTGCATTCACAGGGTGCGTGTATCCATCTGTCACCATATCCCACAGATCAGCATCATGTGCCTGAAAGAAGCTTTCAATTATGTCTTTCCAGTAATCAAAGTTTTCTCCATCAAATACTGGAGGTTTGCCACTGAATCTGTCTCTATCCTCATTGTTGTCATTGCTGATGTGAGAATTGTTTCCTGCCATTGTGTTTTTCTGACGCTGGATCTTGTACTGACACGGTTAAGTGTTTTAGCTCAGAACCAGGCGCTCTGATGCCAATTGAAGTGGTGAAAAACACAAGAAGGGGGGGTTGAATTGTAAAACTGAAATCTAATGCAATGAACAAGATATTTTTATCCTGGTTCGTTTGATCTCAAACTACTCCAGTCCACCCGTCAAGGTGATTTCGCCTCTCTCCAACGAGGTCTTAATCCACTATATTCAACTGAATATTACAGACTGCTTTAACAACTGCTAAAGCCTTCTTGATCCAAACCACAACCCGGTTTGTCAAGGTAACACTTTCTTACAAAGAGATAAAACTAAGTGTGTGAATGTTTTCTACAAAACTTTATCACAACTGTGATGTATACACAAATTGAAGCTTTAGAAACTAGATTTCTAAACAAGAATATCAGAGTGTATGGTTTAGCAAAACTGAGAGAAAGAAGATTATAATTAGCTTTTGTGCGTGTAGAGATTTGGAGAGCATTAGCCATTTCAATCTTCAAAGCCTTGTTTATATAGCACTGAGATGATGAACGTTGAATGCAATATTCTTGATTCAATGCTAATAACAAACTTTCCTTATTGAGCAGATCTTGTCTGGAATGAGGCCGTTGGAATTAATTTGCTTTCAATGCACAGTACCGTTGCTTACTTAATGCAAGTTCTGGCTTGGCTCATTCTGACTCTGCTTCGCTGCTGATGAACTGTTGTGTTTCTTTATCAGAGTGTTGGGCGCAGTCTTGTTCATCAGGCTTCAGCATGTACGTGAGTTGATCATCTGATTTTGACATTCTAATATGGCAACTTCTGATGTTGGTGTCTGAAATCAAGTTCTGATGCTGAATAGATGTGATCTTGCTTATATCAATCAGAGTATCTGCAAGTCAGAACATAATAATTTTAGGCAGCAGATAGTTCATACATGAAACTTATAAATACTATATCTTTTCACTTTGTTATCATCAAAACTTAAATATAGGGTAGTAGATTCAAACTTTGTTCTAACAATCTGGTCTCCTGGTTCAGCAAGAAACAGAACTGTGTGTCTCTCTCTACTGCTGAAGCTGAATACATTGCAGTTGGTAGTAGCTGTTCTCAAATGATCTGGATGAAACAGATGCTTACTGAGTATAATGTCACACAAGATGTTATGGCATTGTACTGCGACAATCTGAGCACAATCAACATTTCCAAGAATCCTATTCAGCATAGCAGGACCAAACATATTGACATAAGACATCACTTTATCAGAGACCTTGTAGAAGAGAAGACGATTAAACTAGAACATGTTGCCACTGAGCTACAGCTGGCTGACATCTTCACCAAGGCACTTGATGCAAATCAATTTGAAAACTTGAGGGGCAAGTTGGATATTTTCCAACAGGAGGAATTGTAGCAATTAATTTTGCTTAAAACAAGGGTAGAAGGAGTTATTTTTGTTAAGTCTATTTTGATTGGGTTAATCATATGCTTTCCCATTTCTTTCATAATTATTAAGAATAGACACTCATTTGCCTCCTTCCTCTCTCAACTCTGCAACAAATCACATTCTCTCAATCAAAGTTCTCTCTCTAGTTGGAACAGGAGGAGACTGAACGAATCAGAAGGGAAGAGGTTGCTGCTGAAGATCAGCTCAATGCTGAAGAAAATAGATCCATTGATGCTGATGCTATTGGTGCAAGTGTCTTCAGATTTTATTTGTTACCTATTTTGGATAACTGTATATCATTTAAGTTCTTGTATCTTTGGCCCATTTGTGGCTAAAGAGGGGGAGATTTTTTGTGTTAATTACTTGGTAGACATTATATTTTTCTGCAGTCATATTCATTCTGTTGCTCTATATTCTCTGATTGCTTAGCGGTTTTAGCCAAAAATCTGTCAAAGGGGGAGTTTGTAAGTGTTTAGTTATTGGCATGTATTTTTGGTAAAACCAGGTGTGTGAATGTCATGACTGATGTCATAACATTCTGGTTTATTAGGTACTTTATGCAGAAAAATTATGGCATACAGTAGCTACTGTGTATGAGTGTGTATCTGAGCATTTTGCAAAAGATCACATTTATTGCCTTCTACCAAAATCAGTAAACAGGAATTCTGATGTCATAACAAATGTTAAGACATCCTGTACTGATCTAACAGTAGTGCAGTTTGGTTAATTCTGAGTTTTTTCAGGAAGTTGGCTCATTCCTTCCAGAACAGAATCTCCCGTTGTCTTTGGGTTAACCTAGCTCAACCCTAAACTGGTTGATAAAGTCTTGTGACCAAGTCTTATGGTTAAACCTAATTAACCCTAGCTTTTTGTGGAAACCCTAATTGAAGAAATAGCTGCTATATATTCAACAGGATTGCTGTTTGGAAAATCTCTCTTTTGGACTGAAGATCAATTGGGAGTTGTACAGTTTTAACTGCTGTAATCCAAGCAAGTATCATTGTGATAAGTGACTTGGAATAGGTTTTGATTGTAAGGGTTTTTTGTATCACTCAAAGCTTTGAAGCAAGAGTGTTTTGTGTCTCTTGACTAAAGCTTTGAAGCAAAGTCAAGTTAGGTTTATGTATCACTCAAAGCTGTGAAGCAAGAGTGTTTGTGTTACTTGATTAAAAAGCTGTGAAGCATAATCAAGTGTATGTTCTGAAGAGTGTCTTCATTAATTCATTAGTCAATTGTTTTAAGTATCACTGTTGTGATTGAGGGGGAGTGAGTAGGAACTCAGGTTTAAGTTGAACTTAGATTGAAGTTGCATTGGGTAGGTCTTAAGTGAAGGAGATAAACTGGTTGGTTTATTCCTGAATTAATATCTCTTATAGTGGATTTCCTCCCTGGCTTGGTAGCCCCCAGAGTAGGTGTTGTTTCACACTGAACTGGGTAAACAATTGACTGTGTTCTTTACTGTTTTTATTTACTGTCTTATAGAAAGTCAGATACGGTGTCATAACATTCACTGTGACATTGAGTATCTGCTGCCAGAATTTTCTACGATGACGTGAGTTCGTACTAAGTAAAAAGGATTAAAATGTCACTTTCTACCCTTTTCAGTCGAAAAGCACATTTTGGGAAACAATTTGTTGGCTGGGATTTTTGACAGGGACTAAAATCTAACCAAAATAAAATGATTAAAAGGGTTTTATTAGAAAAGATGATTTATGTGACATGACTACTGATGTAGTGGACCTAGGACCTAGAGAGATTCTACAAATTGTTCGACTATTGATACAGTCGGTTTGGATAGATTCTACAAATAAGCGATTGGGCCTGAAAACAGGAGCACTCGACCAGGAAAGATTTTATAAGTCATTGGGCCTAGAAACGTCAAAAGGGTCCAAAAGATCCATCAAGCTAGCGAAGCGTTTTGGAGGGAAACTTGGAGAACGTGGGTTCGAGAATACGAATAGAGAACGTGGGATCATGAAGAGGAGTTACAAGATACACGTGGCGTACGAAGAAGCGAAGTCCGCTAGAAAGTAGCTATTTTTGTGTATTATAAATAAAGCACTTAGTGCATAGTGTTAAAGGTTCAAACTTTCGCATTCCTATACACTAGTCACTCAGAGTAACCAAACGAACGAGCAAAATGAGTCATGCTAGGGAAATGTACGTTTGAATCAATTTATTTTCAACTATTTTGATGTTATGTCATTTATATTTACAGTTTAAAACGTCTTTTGTTTTATTTTACAAGTCTTGCTTTATCTCTTATAAACATGTTTGGCACTAGTCGAACGAACCGTTTTGAACATACTTTGTGAAAACACTCGAAAACTAAAGCATTATACTGAGATTCTCTGATCGGTCTCTCCAGTAAACGTTTTGTTAACAGACCGTCGTTGTTTACCAAAATCTGAAGTAAACGGGAAGAAACTCGACATGGGAACATTGTGAAGTTATATGGATTTTGTGCTCATTCACATCACTCATTTTTAGCTTATGAATTCTTGGAGAAAGGTGGTGTGGACAAAATTTTGAAAGATGATGAGATGTCGATTGTATTTGATTGGAATAAGAGGGTGAATTAGATTAAATATATGCATCATGTTTGCTTACATGCAATTGTTCAACGCGATATATCTAGCAAGAATGTTGTTTTGAACTTGGAATATACAGCTCATGTTTCTGACTTCAAAACTGCCAAATTTTTGTATTCTGATTCATCCAACTGGACCATTTTTGTAGGCTCTTTTGGATATTCTGCTCCAGGTTAGCTCTCTTTCATTATAAGGAACAATATTCATAATTAAATGCAAAACATGACTACTTTGATATTTTATATATTTCATATCTTTCTAGAATCTTACTTTTCACATGATAATTCTTATAACTTGTTACAGAACTTGCATACACGATGGAACTAAATGAAAAATGTGATGTGTATAGTTTTGGAGTATTAACTCTGGAGATACTCTTCGGAAAGCACCATAGAGATATTGTGTATACTACTTTGTGTTCGAGTGGTGTGGGCTTAACACTTGATGGCATGTCATTGATTGATCATTTAAATGAATGTCTTCCTCATCCTACAAATGCAATTGCGATCCCAGCAACCATATTCGTAATATTGCGGGTGCAATGGTGGTTATGACACGCAATTTAAAACCATGATGCAAATGGTTTGGGTGTTGTATTCGGCTAGATTTTAAGCTAGAATAATTCAGTTTTAAGTATCTTATATCTTATATATAAATGTTGTTAAGTCTCTTAGCAACTTTTGGCGTCAAAATGAAAGATAGTTTTATGATTTTAATATTTATTTATTTATTTATTTGTTTTTTATTTAATATTTATATAAAATATTAATTCATTTAATTAATAAAAGCTTCCCACTAACTCACATTTCATAACTTAATTAATTAAATTAAAAAATAATAATATAAATATTACTAATTAATTCATCAATAATAAATTAAAGATAAATTAAAGATAAATTAAAGTTGTTAAAGTCACTATTTATTTATTTAATATTAATTTTTAATAAGTAATATTATTATATATTACATTAATTCATTTAATTAATAAAAACTTCCCACTAACTCACATTCCCTAAGATCATGGGTCCTCCCACCTCCCACTATTATATCTATCAATTTATTAATCTATTAATTAATTAAAATAATATTTGTCATTAGCTAAATCTCTATTTATAGTATTTTAATTCATTAATGATAAATTAAGGATAAACTAAAGTAGTTAAAGTCACTATTTGTTTATTTAATATTATTATATATTACATTTAATTCATTTAATTGATAAAATTTCCACTAAGTCACATTCCATAATATCATGGGTCCTTCCACCTCCCATCAATTTATTAATCTATTAATTAATTAAAATAATATTTTTTTATTAATTAAATTTTTATTTATAGTTTATGCATGCCGTCAAATTTAGGATGATAAAATGAATCACGGTCCAGTGGATCAATCTCTCACCCGTCAAAAAATAATAGATTGAGTTAGGATTTTAGATCCGCCGTCCATTAAAACCCACACCGTCAAATACCGCCGCCCACTAAAATCTATCCCATCAAAATTTGTCATCCGTCAAAATCCGTTGCATCTATTTATTCAATTTATCTCACTTTAAATTCATTTTTTTTTAAATAATTCTAATAGGTTCAATTCTTGATAGTTTTATTTTATACATTTATTTATGAGTATATGTAATATTTTTTAAATAAATTCTTGTTAAAAATATACTTTATAAAAAATTATTCTCAAACATAAGTGAAAATTTTAATTAAAATGTAAAAAAAAGAAAAAACTTTTAATATATCAAAAAATAAAGAAAAATAAATAAATAAATAAGTAAAAAGACAAGCTCTCCACTTTATCAGAGTGAACTAGATTTTTATACCGATTTTTATTTGACAGGTTTATCTACGTCACTCTTTTTTTAGCAGACTTAAGACAAAATAAGACAGAGTGGAAAAGACAATCAATTTTACCATTCCTAATCAAATTTAACATACTCCATACCATTTTCTTTTACAGTTTCCACCTCTTATATCATTTCCATCCTCCTAAATTTTGTGTTTTTATTCTATACTTCCATTCTCATTCTCATAAGATTTTCTTCCTCCTCTTTTTTTCTAATTTAAATTATTTACTTGTTGTTATTTTGTTGTGCTAATTTTATCTATTGTTATTGATAATATTTAAATTACAATGGCATCTACAAATATAAAATATTTTAGATAAATTTTGATGGTTTTTATTTTTTTTCCTTATTTTTTTATTTTAAATTTATTTATTTTGTTACAATTTTATTGTGTTAATTTTTTGCATTGTTATTGCAATTCCACGTAATATTTAAATTACAGCGGTAACTAAAAATATTCATAGATAACCTTTATGATTCTAATTATTTATTTTGTTGTTTTTTTGTTTTGTTAATTTTATCCATTATTATTACAATTGCAGGCAATATCTAAATTACAATAATATCTACAGATATAAAATATTTATAGATGAATTTTATAGTTCTTATTTCTTCCTCCTCATTTTCTTTATTTTAAATTATTTATTTTACTGCAATTTTATTATGTTAATTTTTTGCATTGTTATTGAAATTGCACGCAATATCAAAATTATAGTGGTATTTAAAAATTTTCATAGATGACTTTTATGGTTCTTCTTTCTTCCTCCTAATTTTATTTATTTTAAATTATTTATTTTGTTGTAATTTGATTATGTTAATTTTTCTTACATTGTTATTGCTATTACAGGTAATATCTAAAATACAAATAAATTTTAAAAATATTGATAGATGACATTTATGATATTTCTTTCTTCCTCCTCATTTTATCTATTATTATTTATTTTGTTGCAATTTTGTTGTGTTAATCTTTCTTACATTGTTATTGCAATTGTAGGTAATATCTAAAATACAAATATATGTTAAAAATATTCACATATGACGTTTATGGGTCTTCTTAAACTATAACATTTTTGTTTTAAAAAATTGTGTCAATCTCATTATGTCAGTAATGTGATTTGACTTCTTTTTATTGTTGTTTGCTAATTTATTTGTTATTTTTTTTAGTAATCATATTGTGGAAAATTTGTTGTGAGAGGTATGAGTTAAAAGAAATACCTTCTTTTTTATTTTGTTTATTAATTTTTTATCATCTTTTTTAATGATAATAATATTAAATTAATTAATAATAAAAATATAAAATTCTGATATATAGATAACAAATGTTATAACACATGTTTTATATATTGATCTTTGTTTAACAACACTTGAACATGATAAAGCATACTGATATCAACATATCAGAACAGAGTCGTGACAAATATTCCAACATCTTATAAGACATATCAACCAATCAAGAAACTAAACTAAACAACGCAGAATGATAAAAACATAAAGATATGATGACCCAGTTTGATGTACAACAACACCTACTTTGGAGGCTACCAAGCCAGGAAGAAAGTCCACTATCAGCAGTATTAGTTCAAATCTAAACTCACGTTTACAACTTCTCACCTAATCCCTACCTAATGACACTTTTACTTAGGTCCTCCCTAAATATGAGAAATTGTCATCTCACTTCCTAAATCACCTCAGTGATATCTAACAACCATAAAGTTCATCCAAGACTCTTGACTAACAAACACACCTGGATTTACTTCAAAGCTTCATCCAAGAACAATAAATCAACTCTATTCTTAAAAGTTCAAGAGAGATTTTCACACAAACATTCAATGCTTACAAGCTTATGAATGAATGATAGAACCTTACAACATAATGAATAGTTCTAATCTTCTACCAACATGATAGTCGAGAGGCTCACAAATAACACAAACCACCTCTCCTAGAGAGTGACGCACAAACTAAGCCCTAATAGGTTGCATCTTTTCATTCACGACTTACTTTCTTCTAGGTTAACAATTTTCTTTTTATAACCCTTTACCCAATTGGATTTTGGGCTTCAAATTGCAGCATATCAACTGTTACAAATCTGCATAAACTTCTGTGTAAAGATAGGTCTTCAATCATGACTTTCTTAATTTATATCCATAGTTAGAAGGTCAATATTCTTCTTGATTTCAGATTGAATCTTCGAGGCCTTAAAATCAGTGTCTCATAGGATAACATAATATTTCCAAATTATTTTGCATCTGTTAAATCTTAAACTGATCCAATAGCCCAGCCCAAACTAGTCACGATGTTGAATGACTCTGCATATGACATCTTGTCCGACATGTTGCTCCAGTTGATGAAACATCTAAACTCAACATGTTTCTTCATAAAATAAGACTTCTTGATCAATATGTTTTTCTTAACAAGTTAGAACGTCCTATTAAACATATTGCTGCTAAATTTGTTTTACTAAAATTAATGTCAATCCTAAAAACAAAGAACTAACAACCCCCCGCCCCCTTCGGTAAATTTTGGCTAAAACAAATAAATAAAAATACAACTCAGATTACAGCAGTAAAAATTACATCCACATAAAAAATCAGAGACTACAACAACTACTGAGCATAGCAGCATATCTTCAGTTTGATTGATGTCATAACATTATGTTCGACATCATCTTCATAGCATTCTGAATGAGCTCCATTTCAGTACATTCAAGCTCAGCAGCACAGTACCCCAACCTCAAACACAGAAGACCAAACATTATTCTCTATAACAAAGCAGCTCCTCTTCATATTCATCCGAACCAATCCATTACAGCCAATTCAGGATGATTTAATAAGATCAATCCAGAAACATTCCTCACAGAGCTGAAGATACTCCCCTTTGATCTAGAAACCTTCCTCGCATGAGGTGGCATAAGAGAACCATTAAGCAGCAACCACCAGTTAACCCATGGGATCTCACTGTTACTCCTAGATAACTCAGAACACAAGACACACTTGTGTTCATAACTCATATTACAAGACACAAAATCACCAAAAAATTCCAAACTAGAATAGGACATTCCTTTCGACATCTTAGCAAAACAACTGCAAATATAGACCTCAGGCTTAACAACATCTGAACAAAACCTCTCTCCGCCTTTTTGGCCAAAAATTGGCAAACAAATTTCTCCACTAAACCAGTTCCAGTAGGTACTCATCCATACCCTAACAAAATACATAGATACTAAGTTAACCACAAACGCCCACAAGGTGAAAGAGGGAAAGAAATGACCTTCTTAAATAATTGAGCAGTTTTCTTAGGAATTAACGGTCATGGTCATTTTGAGGAAGATAACCAGAAAATAAATGCACCGTCTAAACCAGTTTATGACTATCTTCATAGTCCTAATAAATTCGCATATATCAACAAAAATCAAGTTTTATACTTCCTCCTAACATGTGCTTGATTACGCCGTCCATACTATTTCCTTGTCAGTCATAAAGGAAACATGTCATGCATAATATCTCGACGTCCAGTCATACATTTGTTTTGAACAAGATTTCACCACCAATCAGTACATAAAGTTTATTTAGAAGCAAGATCTCACTGCCTTCCACTGCTCTTTGAGCCTACTTCTTTCAGCCGGAATTAGTAACACATACCAAGACATCATAACATCACATGTGTGACATTTCCTATCAACAACCCACACCTCCATTGAGTCCCACC